GCTGAACTTCCCAGTCTTTAATTTGGAAGGGACAGAAAGGTCATCTGGTCAACCAGGGCAGGTTATTTCTGTGACATTGGGTTCTTTCATTAGAAAAATGTAAGTTTTTGATTCTCTGTCCCCACAATCATCACGTGGCAAAGTGTTCCCTTTGGAGACATCCAAAATAAAGCAGATGAGATTCACTTTGCAAGTAGAGACCAAAACTGCACGTAAGCAAAGTCTCCAACAGTGGAGAAACTCCCAAAGAGAAACATGGAAAACCCCAAATGACATCGACTAGAACAGAGAAACATCTGGATGGTTATAGGATATTTTCTCAGGGAAAAAGGACTGGCTTGGACCAAAGCAGCCTGGTTTTGTGTGAGAAACTCTTGAGGAGCCAGGGATGCTCTGGAGGGGTCTGGGAAGGAAAAATACCTAGAAGTGTTTTATCAACCCCCTTGTGCAAACCAAGATGGGTTATCTGTAGGAATGAAAACCAGCTGCCAAGTGAAAGCCTGGAGAGCTGCACGTCGCCTGGAGGGGCCGAGGGGAGTTCTGCAGCCCAGGGGACCAAGGAAGAGGATTCTGAAGAAAGTCAGAGCTGCACATGCAGGAACTCAGCCTAAGCTGTGCAGAGAAGCTCTCAGAGGGGCTGGAAAACACAAACCACCCCATCAGCCAACAAAAGGGTCTCTGTGGGCACCCCAGGACCCCACAGCACGATCCAACAGTGAGATCCAACAGGGAACAATCAAGATACATCAAGTGCATCCCTGCAGGGCGGGCCAGCAAGTGTGTCCCAAGCCACTAGCATGTGTGGGTGTGAGAGTGATGCTTCCCAGAGCAGGGATGGACATAGCTCTGCCCCAGCACCACCAGCTCCTGTCACAGGAGCTGAGCAGTTGGAAAATAAGACCAACTCATTCTTCTGGGAGAAGAGACTGGGTCTCTAGAGGTGCCTGATGTATATGGACAGCTCCGGAGCTTCTTGTGGATTATTTACCCGGCTCCACATGCTGCCAACCAAAATAAATCAATTCAGCTTTTGCTTCCATTTTAGGAAAATAAATCCTCTGGGACAGGCTGGGAGCTGGTGCCCTGCTAGGAGCCACGTGCTCCCCATCCCAGCCCTGGTGGGATGTAAACCAGACTCAGAAACTGCTTGGCCCTGCTGACCTGTATCCCTGCCTTGCAGAGGGAAGGTGGTGCCCCACAACTTCCTCAGCAGCTCAGGACAGATAGCAGGACAGAGTCAAAAGGTTTGTTCAGCCTCCTGCACACCCAGCCTCCTGCCACTGAGCCGCCTGGCAAACTCTCCCACAGCTTGAGTGACCTTATCCTTATCTCCCCACGTCCTTCAGCCCATCACAGCAGCTGGTTGGAGCAGCAGGTCCTCCAAGGCTGGTTTCCCATGACACAGCCCCTTATCTCATGGCACGGAGCCCTCCCTATCAGCCCATCCCAGCACCCTGTCTGCAGCACTGGAAATCACCTGCTTGTGCTGCAGGAAGGATCACCAAAAATCTTTCCCAAAAGGCTGCACAAACCACCTGCATTTCCCTCTAGCTTCCCAGGAGAGTTTTGCCAGGGCTCAGAGCTGAGCTTGCAAGCACAGGATCCTGAGATGCATCAGGAGCTGCTGGACATCCATGCTCAGCCCCAGCATCTCTCTCCCGGAGCAGGCACAGTTCTTATGCTCACTGCTCCAGCTGCTGCCCCATCAGTGCAAAAGAACCTAATGCAAATTGCCCAGCATCCAACTACTTATAGCCACCAGCCTCTTTCAGATATGATTAATTTATTTTATCAGAACTGACTTCTTAGGAAGGAAAAAAAAAATCTTCCGAACACCTGCTCCTCTCCCCTCCCCAGCCAGGCACAGCCGCATGCCAGCAGCATCAGTGTTGATCCGAGAGCAGGATTTGAAAGGCCAGATTAGGATGGCTCCTCTGTCTCCTTCAGCAGTAAAAATCTTTCAGTTTTGAATGACATGAATATTGGCAAGCCTTATGTTGCTCCAGGAGAAGTAAGGGAGCACTGGCCTCCCGGAATGATTTGGACAGGGCCAGCAGAGAGATGCTGCTGCAACTGGAGTGCCCCATGCAAGACGAATTGCTGATAAACACAATCCTGCCCCTTTCCCTGCCTCTGAGAGGAGCCCCAAAACACACAGCCCAGGTGTCAGGCCCTCCTGAGCCCCCTCAGGCAGCCCCAGGGTCAAAGACACAGGATGCCTGCTCCTTCCCTCCCAGAGGATGCTCACCCGCGGTCACATCCTGCACATGGCATCTCCCTTAGAGCCAATATTAAGCCATAAACCATAATGTGTTCTGACACCACCCGATGTGCTGTAATTGCTCTAAACCCATGAAATGTGATGTCATTGCAGAGTGGCCACTGCAGCATCGTGTTACAAGTCTGAGGGCTCCAAGCCGTTATCTCACAGCAGGCTGTGGGGGAGCAAAGAGCTCCCACTCCCCACAGCTCCAGCTCTGCAGCACCCTGATACCCCAAAAATGCACACATCCCACCCCATCTCCTCAGACATGGGGGAGAGTCTGGTACAGAAGTGTCTCAGTGTTTCCAAACTGATTTTTTCCCATTTGCAGAAACACCAGTAGGGATTACTTGTTTAAAGCCTCCTTCACAGGAGTAATCAGATCACACTTTAAAATAAAGATCTCCAATTACAATTATTCATTAGTATATGATACCCCAGACCATCCAAGAACTTGGAAAGCTGCTGGCTGCACAGGTCTGAGCACACTGCTCATGGAAGAGGCCCTTAGTGCTAATTGCCAATGCTAACCCCAGCCATTAAGAAATTATTACTAATGCAGTTTACAACAGTTTTTATATGGCACTATTAAGGAATTCATCAGAAAGCAGAACCAAATAAAGCAGAAAGTGATTAAAGAAAAAAAAAAACCACTTACCCCAATCTGCAGGATCAGCAGGAGCAAGAGTTGGAGCTATTGTCTGAATGCAGCAGCCCCAAAGCTGAGTCTGGGGCTCCCTTTGCTGCAGCGTTAGTGCTGCTATAGCCTGGGGCCCTCCCAAATACTCCAGGGTGGGAGAGGGTCTCAACTCTGGCTCATTCCACTCAGCAGCTCCCTGCAGAGCCATAGCTGGTCCCCTGCACCTGCTTAGGAAACCATCCTGTGCCAGGCATGGAGTATGGGGTCAGGGCTGTGGAGGGGTACATAGCCAGAGTGCTGGGCCTGAGGGTGGTCTTAGGGGCACATGTGCTTCCCCTGAGGTCCTTGTAATGAAAAGTGCATTGAGGGGACAAAATTAGGCTTGGGGATAGTTTTTCAAAAGGCTGATAAAAATAATTCTTTGAAGGGGTGAGGAAGAGGAGGGACAGTTTGTGCTGGAGAGGTGTCACCCACAGAGCATGACGGCTCCAAGTGGCACAAGGACACAGGGCTGGAGCTGTGACTCATGACTTTTTGGCGTTCCATCACGGTGTCAGGATTGCATTTCGAGGACTATATTTTATTCATAAAATGGCTGTGCTCACAGCTGTGCCTGGCAGAGCCAGCGTGGCTGAACTGGCTCCTGCTGACAGGGCTGGGGGTGCTGTGCATTCCTGGGGGGTCCCAGCTCTGTAACAAGGCTTGAAAATGACAGAAAATGTGTAAAATTGGGCAAGAGCCCCCAGGTTCCCCACCATGACCTGGAATGTGGGTACCCAAGTGCTGGGCCAGGGTTTACAGCATGTGATGGGCTGTTGTTGGTAACCACATCCCAAATGAGCCAGAGTGGAGCATGTGAGGTTGTATTTTTAACTCTGAGGTCCTGGTGACATGGAAAACTGGGTGCCTGGTCCAGGTGCTGCACAGATTGATGGAAAATCTCCCACAACCCATTTACACCTTGGCTTTGCCAACCCCAGGCATTGCAGTGTGTCAACAAATGGTGCCTCACCCCCAGGAATGGTTTTAAGGCTGTGCCCAGAGCCCAGAAGAATCCATTTGCCAGTACCTCTGCCAGGGAATTAGTTGGGAAGTGCTTCCCTGCAGAGCTGCTGTGAAGAGCTGGCACGGTGGGATGGAAATGGGGATGGGGCAAACCCAGCTTTCCCAGCTCAGGGGCTGATTTAGCATCCCCAAGCAGGAAACACATTTTCAACCTCTTGAGAGGGTAAGGACAGGATGAGCCCATGGGTTTTGTCAGGCTCCATGTCTCCCCAGCACAGTGTTAGCCTGGACTTGGAATTCACCCATCAGTGCTTGGAATTCACCCATCCCCACACATTTCCCTTGTCCTTCCCTCCATGGGGAGGACAAGTGCTGGGCTGGGAGGTGACACACAGTGGCATCCCCCCTCCTCCCACTGCCCTTCCGCAGCCCCGTGCCCACCCTGCTGGCTCAACCGAGACAAGCGGAGGCTAAGAACATCGACTGGGTTTTATTCCTCAGGTCTGACAAGTAAAAGCACAAATTCTCTTTGGAAATAAGGAAAAAAAAAAAAACAAAACCAAAACCAAAACCCCAAACCAACGTTCAAAGCACGCGGACAGTTTGCGTTTCTCAGGACGGAGGCCGTACCGTCAAGCTCCGCCGCCGGACGCGTGTCCTTTGCAGAGATGCAGTTTTAAAAAAAAAAAACCAACTCATGGAGGAGGAAAAGACACAGGGCTACAGGTCTCCATGTCAATTTTAGAGAAAAAAAAGGCCCTTTTTGGCTGCTGTTATAAATACCCCATCCGAGCCACTTGGAGCAAACAACTGTAAGGACATCCATTCTGCTCGGCCCCGTGGGCACAAAATCTCTACCGGCACCTCAGACCACTACAAGCCCTCAGGGACGGTGGCCTGGCACCCAGTGTGTGCCCTGTCTCTCTGCTGGTCCCCCTGGGGTGATGGGTGCTGCCATCCCTGCAAGCGGCACCCGTCACCCTTGCCGGAGGCTGTCAGGATGCCACGCCACAGGGGACCAGGGAGTGGGGTCCAGGGGGAGGGGAGAGGGGAGAAGGGGTGCCAGGGCACAGGAAGGCTGCAGGTGGCTGCTCAGGCACATGTGGCCTCCTGGCTCTCGATGGGGATCTCGCTGCCGCTGCTGCCCTCGCCGTACTGCTGGTAGGGTGGGATCTGGGGTGCCTCGATGATCAGCAGCCCCTCTGGAGACAAGGAGGCGAACACTGTGATGGGGTCCACCTCGTAGGGCAGCCTGCAGGAGGGGAGGAAAAATGGGATGGTTTAGGAGCTGCAGGGCACACTGCATCCCTGGTGCACGCTGACCCTTGGGAAGCCCACTCAGGACCCCCAGCGTGTGGGAAACCACCAATGCCAAGGCAGCAGCCCCAGCGTGGGGCTCAGCAAAGCCTCTGTTATTACTGTAGCGCCTGGGAATGTGCCGGGGATATTTAGAGCAGGCTCCCGGCCGGCCTGGCCCCCGTGGGAGCTCTGTTTAATCTCCCCGGCAGATGTGTTTGACGGGATGTCACTGCCGCTTGTGCCGCCCAGGCCTCTGCAAAGCAGGAGTAAATCCTGGCCGTGCCACAGCCCACGTCAGCCGCGAGCCTTGCCCGTAAAAGGAGCCCGAGCGCTGAGCTGCAGGGAGTGCCGCGCTTGGCCCAGCTTTCCCGTGGGAGTTTGGGATGCACAGGGCTCCTTCAGGGAGAAGCAAAGCTGAGCTGTTGCCAGTCGAGGAAACCCTTCCCATGCCCTGGGCTTTGCTGCTTCTCCCTGTTCACCCTGCGGCCAGGGGTCTGCCCCCCACATCGGTCAGGGCTCGCCTGCCTCTGGACTTGCCTTTGCCAGTGTTGTTGCCAACGTGAGCTATGGGTGAGTCAACCTGATAGGGATCTGACTGACATCATGGAGATCGACAGATAGACATCTGCACACAGGGATGTGCTCTGGGGCTGGCATGGTGTCAGCCCGTCGTGCCCTGCTGCACCCCAGGGGATGGCTCCTCACATCCCTCCTGCTCCCTGCACCCTGCCTGGCTCCAGACGCTGCCCCAGGCATGGAGAAGACTGACAGAGCACACTAAAAAAGGCCTCCTCCTCCTTTAACTCCCTTGGGAAATCACTTTCTGGCCCAAACCAGCCAGGCATGTGCTGCACAAGGGCAGATTTTGGGATGAAAACAGTCCCTGCACATGTGAGCTGGAGCGCAGTGACTGGCAAAGCTCAGCCAAGCTGATTGATACCTACTGGATTTTCTTGGTGAAGTTCTTGGAGACGATCCCTCCTTCCACTTGCTGCTCCTCATGTTTGCCTGCAGGGAAGGGCAACATCCCACATCACCACCTCACTAGAGATTATTTTTTTCCCCAACAAACAACAACAAAACCCAACAGGAATGTTTTCCAAGGAGTTTTTTTCCCTTCCCCAGTGCAAACACTTCCTCTGAGGAGGGCTCAGGGAGCCTATCCATGTGGGGAAGGAGATGCCAGACACGGCACAGATATTTCCAGTGAATGCCTGGGGGTTCAGAGGCTGTGGTTTAAAAAAAGCCCCAGACATCATGAAACGCTTGGAGGTGGCAGTGTTCCCCCTTGTCTTGCTCCCCAGGCTGGGCTCCCCTCCACCATGCTGTCAGGCTGGGGCTCCCTGTGCTTGAGCATCAACCAGCTGCTGCCCGGACCCCCCTAGCCTGTGTTTTTCCCCCTGTGATCATGTGAGCCCCAAATAAATACCCAGAGCTGAGCTGTGAGGCAGCCTCCAGCCTTCCCTGGTGACACAGGCCCAGGGGACTTGGGGGCAGTGGGAGATATCCGTGCTGGGCTGATGGGATGCTGAGGGCACCTGTGGACACCCCAGATGCAGTGCACCCCAAACCCACTGTCCCCACCATTAACTGAGTTTTCAGGTATGTGCTTCTGGCCAGCTCAGACCCAG